TTCTGAATTTGGCTATTATTTTTGGATTTACTACGTCCCAATCTGAACTTGGCTATTACATTTTGGATATGTTACGTCGCATTCTGAACTTGGCTATTTCATTCTGAATTTGCTACGTCCCATTCTGAACTTGGCTACTACTTTTTGGATTTACTACGTCCCATTCTGAACTTGGCTAGTACTTTTTGGATTTACTACGTCCCATTCTGAACTTGGCTATTTAATTCTGAATTTGCTACGTCCCATTCTGAACTTGGCTATTTCATTCTGAATTTGCTACGTCCCATTCTGAACTTGGCTATTTCATTTAGAATTTGCTATGTCGCATTCTGAACTTGGCTATTTCATTCTGAATCTGCTACGTCCCATTCTGAACTTGGCTATTACATTTTGAATTTTATACGTCCCATTCTGAACGTGGCTATTACATTTTAAATTTGCTACGTCACATTCTGAACGTGGCTATTGCATTTTAAATTTGCTACGTCACATTCTGAACTTGGCTATTACATTTTGAATTTGATACGTCCCATTCTGAACTTGGGTATTTCATTCTGAATTTGCTACGTCCTATTCTGAACTTGGCTACTACATTCTGAATTTGCTACGTCCTATTCTGAACTTGGCTATTTAATTCTGAATCTGCTACGTCCCATTCTGAACTTGTCTATTTCATTTTGGATTTGCTACATCCCATTCTGAACTTGGGTATTTCATTCTGAATTTGCTGCGTCCCATTCCGAACTTGGCTATTACTTTATGGATTTACTACGTGCCATTCTGAACTTGGCTATTTCATTCTGAATTTGCTATGTCCCATTCTGAACTTGGCTCTTACTTTTTGGATTTACTACGTCCCATTCTGAACTTGGCAAATTCATTCTGAATTTGCTACGTCCCATTCTGAACTTGGCTATTTTATTCTGAATTTGCTACGTCCCATTCTGTAGTTGTCTATTTCATTCTGAATTTGCTACGTCCATTTCTGAACTTGGCTAGAACTTTGGGATTTACTACGTCCCATTCTGAATTTGGCTATTACTTTTTGGATTTACTACGTCCCAATCTGAACTTGGCTATTACATTTAGGATATGTTACGTCGCATTCTGAACTTGGCTATTTCATTCTGAATTTGCTACGTCCCATTCTGAACTTGTCTATTTCATTTTGGATTAGCGACATCCCATTGTGAACGTGGCTATTCCGTTTTGAATTTCCCTCGTCTCAAAATGTCTTTGATTAGTCCCAAATTAAACTTGAAATGTTATAGATTGATGGCAAGGCCTCAACCGTTCACAAGTGAATTGGCTCGATGTAACCCCAAGTTCTATGATAATAGTTTCTTTTCTCGTTCTTATCGATTGTGAAAATCTTTTCCGGCTCCATGCTTTGCATTTCACTTTGATCATCAACAATTTAAATACAATATCAATCATTATCTACTGTCTTCTTGATCACTCTTCTATTGTTCTCTCTCATTAATAATCTTTCTGTTTATAATTCTTTCCTACGGAAGGCGGATTCATCAATATTTTATCAAACAGAAAGACATTTTTGTTATTATATAAATAAAATCAATCGTTATTTGGTGTTTGCTACATAAATATTGATTACTCTTGGTTCAATGTGATTAGAATGAATGGTTTGAATGTTAGTCTTACAACCATGAGTTCCAGGTCAAATATCACCATGATCTATTTTTCCAGGATGGTTGGTGGATGCTCCAAGCATACATCACCATATGAAAATGGTTAAAACGATGGTTGCTCCAAGACTTGTCTGTTAAATTGGATAAGTGGATTGTTCGGTTGGACGATATAAAGTCACACAATTTTGAGAATGTGTTATTTTAGTGGATTCACAGTTTTGATTAAACGGCCTGTTCCTTCAATTATTTTTAACCAATGTGAATTTTGTCTACTAGCCTGCGCATTCGAAAGACTTAATAAAGAAAATATTTTCTCCTCCTAACTGCAAACATGTGGGAGGGGGGTTTTAACACTGTCTAATCCGAAATGCTTTATACCTAATGCACAGACTGATATTCTACGTATCCCCCTAGAGGGGTTGGTCCCATCCCATTCTCTCTTGGCTGGAGTTGCGAAATATTTTCGGTCCCGAGATGAAAGAACTTCAACACGGAAAAATTTTAACTTATGTTTATTAATGTTCACATGTCGATATATACTATCCAGTGGGGTCGCTCCCTCTCACTGGGAAGTCGGTCCAGACAGGAAAGAGAACACTTCTACATTGCTTGACGTATAAGAACCAGTTGTCTGAAAAACTTTTTTAAATCTATCATTCCAACTTGAGTTCAGCTAATCAAAATCGACTTCCTTATTTTGGCTTGCATCTGACCTCGAAGGTCTAAAAATACTAGTCTGTAAAACTATTATTTAACAGTTAGACGAATTTTTTATATATGAAAATAGAAAACATTCTGTATAAAAAAAGAATATAAAAATATATATATATATAAATAAGTATACACTAAAA